TATAATTCTCAAGTGACTGATACAAATTTTTCTGCTTAACCTTGCAGCTCGAAAACTTTCTAAAATAGCTAGCGAAAATATATAACTAAAAAATAATTAACACAAAGTAAAAAGATGTTGAATTTCTCGATGCTCAAGTTGATTGAGCATCTGACTGCGAAATCAAAAGGTCTGAGGTGGGGAACTAAATGTTAATTTTTATTTTCACTTGTCCATGGGGATCAATTATCATTCACCACGGAGGAGGGGGGAGGACTTTAGAGGATCACATGATTTTCAGGGGGAAAGGAGGGGGAAACAGTTGTCGCCGACAGAGTTTAAAGGGGGGGGGGGCTGTAGAAATTGACTGCCAATTTTAAAACTGCCAATGAGTGGGAGTCGTAAGAATATTGCAGAGCCTTTGCTGAGAGGGAGGGGGAGCGATCTGGTTAATTTTATCGTGACACAACCAAAATCTTCTGACCCTCCTCTCCCTTGGCAGTAAATTATAACTGGTACCTATGTAATATTTATCATCTCCTATTGCTCAAAGATTTTGCTAATAGCTTGATACACGAATGTACAGCGACTCTAGTTTTCAGTGTGTCTCCTACTGGTCTGTGGAAGAGCCTAAATATCTTATACACCTCACTGTTATTTATTTTTTTCTTTACATTTAGTTATTGGGTCCTGCAAAGAAGCTTACAACCTTTTCAAGTAGGTGATACTAAATGATTATCTTTTCGAGCATAAAAAAAGAGACAAAATTATCGAATTGTTTAGACGTCGAGGGAAGATTTTTCGCCGCAAACAAATATGATCACGAATGGATTTCTTTTCATATCAAACAGGTCAAACGCCAGTCAACTGGTTACATTATACCTTGACTCTAAGCCAATCACAGTTCTCTGTCAGATGGGGGATTTTGGATGCGGAGATGGAGGATGGACGCCTGTAATGAAGATTAACGGCAGCCAGGTAAGCCTCATACGGCGGAATATTCTTGGCGGGGTTTTCTTGCGGGTGATGAAGCACAGCAAGAAGTTTTCAGAAGCATCAAAACTACGATAGAATCTATATTAAAGTTCACACGGCAACCAGGTGAACAATCAGACATGGTTTGATGCTACTCTGGTTTACAGATTTAATGAAGAAGTTACAATTCATAGACCCAACGTTTCGACACTCCTGCCTAGTGCCTTCATCAGGAGTGATCTAAACGCTGCAACAAGAGGTCCTTCTGTATGATCACAAATTAACTGCCTTTTTTCTGACGAGGTGTAAATAGGCGTCAGGAAGCAAGTGGCCATCGTCACGATTTAAAGGAGCGTGGGCGGAGTTAATATGCCAAGCCTCCAAACAAAGGCGCTGGTGATAACGCCGATTAGTGGTGATAATTTTAGAATTATCCCACCCAATTGTATGGTTGGTTAGGCATGTGTGCTCCGATAAAGCTGAATTTTCCTTTTTGCAAAAGAAAACCGCGTCTCTTTCAAACGTGTACCAAACTAACGTTTGGTCTGTCCGATGTATTCGTTGTCACAGTCATTGCAAGGAATAGAATAAATGGCGTCGGTTCGTCGTTCTTTCGTGACAGGATCCTTAGGTTTGGCAAAAATATGCCCCAAAGTCTGAAAAGGTTTTCGAGCAACTTTAACGTTGTGGCCATTCAAAATTCTCTTGATAGGTTCCGTAACACCCTTAATGTAAGGAATAACAGCAAAACCAGTCACTGATTCCCTTTCATCAGGGGAGTTACTAATTGTAACTTGTTTTTGGCAGTTACGGAGAAAGGTTTTATGTATAGCCATTTAGGACATTAGAAACATATTTCCTAAACAGTCAGCCCTCCTGAGTAAAAGTTTTGGCTACAGACTTTTTATGGCAAATAGGGTAGTGAGAATCGAAAGCGAGGTATTTGTCGGTGTGGGTAGGTTTACGGTAGACACTTGTCTCTAAATTACCCTGAACCCCTCTGGACACATATAAATCAAGAAAGGGCAAATGTCTACCCTTTTCACGCTCAAGGGTGAATTGGATCGACGGCTCTACTGAATTCAGGGTAGGAATTCTACTGATAGGAAATGCTTCATTTCCGGATACCGTAGAAATAACATCATCGACATGTCGTTTCCAGAAAAAGGGTTTAACCGGTGAAGTGGCTAAGGCCTTTTGTTCCACGTCTTCCATTACCATGTTGGCAGTGACAGCAGAGACGGGCGAACCCATAGCTGTACCAAAAACTTGTTGATAGTAGGTGCCGTTATATACGAATTGCGTGGTTTTGAGGCAAAAAGACAGAATCTCTTAGCAACTTGTTCATATACTTCTCGCGGCCCCTGTTTGCGGAACTTCTTCTAACATAAGTGCTACAATACCCTAATATCTAAAAACGCAACAAATTGCTAATTAACCCGCCTGCAAATAGAGTATAGATTGATGGTTTTTACACTAACTGTATCATTGATTTCATGATGGTCCTGCCTTTGGTTATGCATCGTGTTATTTATGTTTAAGGATAAATTAAATCCTCTTAATTCTTTTTAGGCAACGTTTCACTATAACTCTCACTACTGGAGTGATAAAAACCAATACAACATCCCCGGCGGGGGGACTGGGTTTGACTCACAAGAGACCAAGTTACCGACCTATTGGAATACACCTTTCTCCAAGATCTGTCTCGGTATGAAGATAAGTGGACAGCTCAGGTTTATTGTCTTTAACAAGCAAGCCAACTCTCTGCACTCTTTGATTGCTAATGGGACATACCGCGCTACTTCCCTGGGTCGTAACGAGTGGAAGAAGTTGATTGGTGCGCAGGGCTCTTTGCAACTGAACTGTAACAAGGAGGCTTTAATGCTGTAGGTATTGCAAGAATTGGCTATGTAGCTAACCAGCAAAACGATTGTCTCTCTTGTAACTCCAGAATTGGGTTTGGTACTAGAGGAGGTTCCAATACGTGCGGAAACGTAGCAGCTCTTTCCCCAGATAATGGTGACAGAAACATCAAAGCTATGGGATATATTTTAGTGCAGTAAAGTCTTTCAATCCATGTATTACGTTAGAAAACTCACTTACAATGAGGAAGGGGAGGTGGGTTACTGAAAAAAGCTCTTTTCCATTTATCCATCCCCTCTCCCTTCTACCCTCAAACGCTCGAGTGAGAACTTGCTAAGCAGATTATAGATTGCTACTTACGGCTCATGATTTACAAACTTCTCTTCCTCCTCCAAAATACCAGGTGAGTTATTAAGCCGGTAAACTGATATACAGTGTGTTCTATTACTTTATTATTACTAATCGTTGTCACGAATAATAATTGTTATTAATCATTATTAGTTATTAAGATTTCCGAACTAACCCTTAGTGCAAGTATAAAATCAGTTGTAAAGACTTTTAGCATGCCTAACACCAGGTCTGCACAAAAAATACTTCTGACACAAGAATCTTATTATTCTGCAATTTCTCTATAACAGTTAGAAAAAGTGCATATGATAATTTGATAACAAGAGCTATAAAATAAATAAAAAAAACAAATAAATAATAGGCAAAATAATATTTGAATAGGAACTTACATTCGATATAAGCTGATATAGTTTCCTCGTACTTTGTATCATTCCACAGCCAGATGTCAAGGAACAACTTGGAAAGGGGGCGGGAATCGGGCAGGTTTCCAAAGTGGTTGGCAATATGTGGAAGAAATTGCCGACAGACAGACGAAAGGTTAGTTATAAACTTCTAACATTGCGAATGTTTGTGTATTAACCCTGCCCCATTTCAGTGGACTGCTGTGTGGTTTACGTGGCTAAATTTGTAAGGACCGAGAGTGTAAATGTTCTCGTCAAACTTTCCAATTAAAAGTATTTTAGGTTATGAATGTTGATCTTGAATCAAGCTGGGACCTCAAGCTGAATGTCAATTTTGTAATATAATGTTCAGACTTGTTATTTTTCCAGACAGAACTCTTAAATATACCTAGGGGATAGCAAGGCCCATTATAATGTACCAATTAATTTAACCTAAATTTTAATTAGAAATAACCTACATGTGGCGGATCCAGGTTTTGAGGAAAGGGGGGGGGAGGCAAGGGGGTATTATCCTCAAAAAATTATGATAGAGGGTGAAAAAAACTGTCTTTGCAATCTAGTTTATATAAAAATAGGGGGGATCAAAAATACACGATTGTTCCCTAATATATTTCCCCCCTTTTAAAATATCATGCTATGATATTCATAGGACTGGAAAGATAAAGCACAGAGCTTGAGGGAAGACCTTGATATAGGAATAGCAGAGATAAAAAAATGTCCAACCTGCAGCACCCAGTTCACAAGGGAGAAGGACTTCAAATACCACCAGAAAGGTTGTCATGAGTGCATTTGCAAGGAATGCAATGAATCGTTTGACCATGAGCAAAAGCTAAAGAGGCATAAAGACAAGAAACATAAAGACAGCAACAAGTGTGATCATTGTCAAAAGACTTTTGCAGAGAAACGAAATCTTATAAGACACCAAATAACCTACATGTGGCGGATCCAGGTTTTGAGGAAAGGGGGGGGAGGCAAGGGGGTAAAGTCACATGTTTAATTAACCTATCCTGCATTTAGTGATTTTAACTGGAGATGATTTGAAAGGACTATTGGATCAATCTATAATACATAATTGTTTTTGTTTTTAAATTATTATTATTATCGATTTTTGAAATTAATTGTGGTCATTGCAGCACATGTACATCATGTTACTGTTCAAACCAAATTTTAAATCATTACAATGTTGTGTTAGACTTTAACAAGAAAGAATGAATTAAAACTTATTTACAATTTCAAACCTTCAATCTTTTCAAAGTTTTACGTTTGTACAGCTTAATCTTCAGAGGATAGACCCCCCCCCCCCCCCCCACTTTTTGGGTGAAATAACTGGAGGCCCAGGCCTTAATTTACCTGAGTATTAGTTAGCGCCCCATGTGAATCAATGGCTGAACTTTGCTTATAATTTTCCTCAATCAGGATATCAGCAAACAAACCTTCATACCCACAAGGTACTATACGGTTGTATGGCATCGTACCAATTATCTGAACCCATGGAAGAATCCATAAGTTCTGGCACATGTACATCATGTTACTGTTCAAACCAAATTTTAAATCATTACAAATGTTGTGTTAGACTTTAACAGGAAAGAATGAATTAAAACTTATTTACAATGTCAAAACCTCAATCTTTTTAATAACCTTGTTGTTCAGGGGCAGATCCAAGGAGAGAGGTTTTTAATCTAGGCAATTTGCCTTAAGTGAATTTCCCTCTATGTTAAACATTATGCGAACATTCCATTGTTTATTCACTAAGATTTCTCTGTTTTCCTATTTTTTCCTTTGCATGTGCTTTGTCTTGGATTTCATAGTATGGGACCCAGACTTCTTACTACTTTTAGTGTTTGTTTGTACTGCTTTAGCCAAGTCATGGGTGCGCTTCCTCTTGGAGGTTGGTTCTTGTAGTTGTACTGGTCGCCCTTTTGATACAACCTGATGGCTTCCACTACCACACTTTTGTTTTCTGTTGGGCTGGACTCGGATCTTTTTTCCATTTCCGGTTTTTTTCACCTCACTGGACCCGAAAGAAAAAAGGGCGCTTGCCAAATTAGAATGCATAGATCTAGCAGCGGTTAAGGATGTTACCCTTTTTGCAAACCTGATTACACCTTTAGCCAAATTAAGGTCTCTTGAGCTTTGGAGCTTTTGAATTATTTGTTCACAAGAGTTTCTCAACAATTGTTCAGCATTTGCAATGGAATCATCCTCATCATCATCATTGCTCTGTATTGGTTCAGTGGAATATTCATCCTCATCATCATTGCTCTGAATTAGTTCAGCAGTTGAGCAGTTTGGCCCTTGTTGTGCTATTTCCATACTAGTGGATGCCTCTGTTACAAAACCATTAGAACCATCAGTTTGTGATGTTTGTCCAGCATCACTAGAGCGTAATGGCTTATAACAAGCAACAGGAAGTGTCTTTCCTATTGCTAGCCAGGCCAATTTCTGCCTCTCATGTGGGTTACTGACTGGAATGAAGTTTATGCAGTCTGCTAGATTTGCCACCCACAGGACATACTGGTGTTTGCATGGGCTCCCGTTTTTACCAACCGTGCAGGTACATATCCCAAGAGTCATGTCCACTGTATAACTGACAAAGAACCAATGAGACAATTCATAAATATCTCAATACAACTGGAATTTTTGTATTCAATCTGTAATAGATACATTCTAGACCTTCAACTGGTTGATCCACTAAGATATTAATGGAAATATTCCTAACAGCAGAGTAAGGACTTGCTCTTACTCTGCTATAAAAAACTCAACACCCTGCCAAGAAGGGAAATTACTAAAGGTACCCCACCCCCTGGACAATATATTACTCATGTTTTGGTCTTCCTTATGCTAAATCAACATCCTTGGAATGCAGCATATGGATGAACTGCAGGAATTACATGTATCTCATATGTTATGCATGTTATGTCCCCATGTTTTATGTATTTTTGCTCCAAAGGGGAGGAGCCTAGAAACACTGCCCCCTCCCCCCCTGCACTGCTTCCCCTATCAAGATAATTTGAATCAGATAATGGGGGAAAGATAGGAAAATAATGCCCACCCACACATGCCCTCTTGTACCATCAGAGCATTATGCTATTGTGACAGCTAAGAAAAAACACTACTGACCTGTGACTGCTATCTGAAGAGCTTCCAACTTTGAATACATTATTGCCAAAGTTCTCTACAGTTGAGAGGTAGGCATCAAGATCTTTTTTATCTGGGACTTTAAACCCTGTGCTTCCGTCTTTCCCTTTGCCAAAGAAGTGATGTCTGTACACGCCATCAAAACTCCCATCAGCAATACTAAGGAGCTTATTCTTGTAGTGATCTTCTAGATCAATAGTCAGCTTGTCTAGAAGCCCAACAACATTGTACTCTTTGGTGCGCTGCAGAATTACATCCTTAAGAATCAAAAACTGAGCCTCGGCAAAATTGTTGGTGTGGTTACCTCTAACAGGCAGTTCAGTTCTAAAGCATAGAGCAAAAGATTCTTTGTCATTGTATAGATTTTGCAAATAGCTGACTAGATTTGGGTATTTCTTGCAACGGCCATCATTCAAAAGTTCACTGAAGCAGTTCTCAAAATCTTGTTTTGTCTCGGCTTATAAGGACCTCTTGAAAAGGGTGAGAAAATAGGGTCTATCTGCTTGGCTGATACTGTTCTTGCTCTCGTGAAGCCATCTCCAAAGTTGTTGGAGCATGTGGAAGATGCAAAGAAGTAAAACAGATGTTGACCAAACAGACTTCAGAGCATTTCTTTCCTCTTTACAGTTGTCTGTAAGGATGACTTGGGGGCCTTGTTCCCGACCACGATCATTGAATGCATACTCTGGTAAACAGGACCGAAGCATTTCAAAGCCCTGTTTAAGTGTATGCTCCTGCTCATCACTGGTGATCAAGATGCCAAGTGGAAGTGCTCCAGATACATTGTTTGTGCATATTAAAAACACTTTAAGATTGTGCTCTTCTGTATTAGAAGTAGCATCAACAAAAACCATTTCACCAGACTGCTGCACTTCCTTGTGTACACAGTTCATGAGAGGTGTTACAATAGCAATTATAAGAGGCGTATTATCACCTTCATATATCTGGTAACAAGTAGTAGCTTCAGGGTTGTCTTTCTTGTATTGTTCAAGCCTTTCGGCAAGTCTTTCAAACATCATAACGCCCTGTCCACCATACCTATCCTTACCAAATTGCGTGTAGAGGTAACTAAAGTCCCTTTTTCTTGGCATAACTGCCCGATTGGCCTTTTTCCTGTGAAATTCCAATTCATCCTGACATGATTCTTTGAGTTCTTTCAAGTACTGTTGCCTTGCGGTTGCTGGTGTATGCCCACTTTCAAACAGCTTCAAAACCCTTTCTGTGCACTCAGGAGAAAGGTCACGGAAATTAGAGGTCTCCAGAGTTTCAAGTGAATGGTTGTGGTCCCACTCTATGTCCACAGAACAACATCCCTCGCTGTCTATTTTGACTATCATCTGAAAGGGGCAATTGGTGTTCTTTACTCTGGCAGATGGATTCAAGTACAATTTCTGCTGTGGATCTTTACTTGGACTCCAGTTGCGAGTGTTGTGTTGGCATCTATAGTAGTTTTGCAACACATAGCCGCTTTTTGGTGCCTTCTTTGTCTTTAACTTCACTGAGATGCTGTTTATCACTTCATATTCGGATATCCATTGCTCCAGGTTTTCTTTCGTTATATCTTCGGTCAAAAAGTGCACTTTGAACTTTTCTCCATTTCCTGAAATTGCCTTCAGGTAGTAAAATGAATCATCTGGAAGCGAAGCCAGAAAACTCTCCTTTGTAATTTGGGTCGATTCAAAAGATTTTCTTTTCGATTCGACTTCTTTTATAGCTGAAGATATTAGATCTTTGAGAAAATCATTGCAAAGCAACACAGAATCGACGGTAGGTTGCGAACTAAATGCTACGTCTTTAAAATTCGTAGAGAGCGACTAACTTATTGACAAGAAGAAAATGAGTTTTGGGGCCAGTAATACGGTTACGAGACAGACGATTTGAAAACTACCTACATCTTGAGCTATTTGATCGAGAATCGAAACCGAGAGGTTCTATGTGATTGTACACTCGTGTGTACAGCGGTAGTCATGGCGGCTGGTTGTAAGTTTTCCCTCTCTCCTGTCTTTACCGTTTTTTTAGTTTGTCTCTTAGCCTGCAATAGTTTTACTTTCTTCAAAATACGACTATCTCATCCCAAGACTTGTCTGCATCCTGTTGGAGGCGTCATAGGCTTGGAGACGACTCGAAACTTCTTTGTTGCACTGACATCGCGAGTCCGCCATCTTGGAACACGTGCGAAGGGATATTTTGGTACAGACCTAACTCGATATCCCAATTCTGTTTCTACATTTAATATCTCAAGATTGGTACAATGTGGAGACATCGAAATAAACCCTGGACCTGGACCAGGACAGTCATTATCTCCGGGATTATCCACAACTCGCAAAAAACCTCTTTGGAAGTTCCCTTGTGATGTATGTACGAAGCCGGTTCGCTCCAATCAGAAAGGGATTCTCTGCGATGGTTGTAACAAATGGTTCCACCTAAAGTGCATTACCATGGATCTACAGGCTTATATTGACTTGGGGTCTTCTGATGAGCAGTGGTTCTGTGACAAAAATTGTGGGTGGCCTTTTAACTTCACTGATTCATTCTTTGAATCGTCCTTCTCAACTGGGCAGAATGTAAGCTTAAGCTCTGATGTCTCTGCGGAATCTCCTCGCTCTGCTAATGGCTTCTCTAAGTGCTTACTATTAAATACGAGGAGTATTCGAAACAAGATCAACGACCTAAATGCTCTGTTATTAATGGACTCCTTTGACATTGTTGCCTTGACGGAGACTTGGTTAGACAATGAATTTGATGACCGTGATCTACATCTTGAGGGTTATAGTATCCATCGTCGGGATAGACGTGGTAAGCGTGGTGGAGGAGTGTTGCTCGCAACTAAATCACACCTGCCATGTGTACGGAGACACGATCTTGAGGTAAATGCGGAGATGCTAGCCTGTGAATTAAAGACCAGTAATACACGATGTCTATTATTTGCAGTTTTTTACAGACCACCAGACGTCGAAGAGACGTTCTTGGATGAATTCAGGAGATTTCTCAATAAAGCTTCTGGTACAGGAATCGCTGATTTAATTATCACTGGCGATTTTAATTTTCCCTGTGTCGATTGGTCTACTGGATCACCAACTAGTTTAGACAATTTGACTGAAACTTTTTGTGAAATCCTGGATGACCATTTTCTCACCCAAACAAACCCTTATATCACCCGTCCCAGTGCCACTAATACCTTATCATCTGGTAACATCTTAGACCTTGTGTTGACGAATCATGAATCACTCATCGAAGGAACTACTGTGCACCCAAATGGATTTGATTCAGACCATTTCCCAGTCTGTTTCGCGATCAAGAAAAAGTTCAACAGGCCCAAAAACAGTCAAAGATTAGTTTACCGATATGATAAAGCTGACATTGATGGTCTAAGAAATACATTCTCTCACATTTTATGGGATTCCTATATATCTTGTGAGGACATTGACTCAGGTACGGCGAATTTCCAAGATCTTGTTCTCGCGGCAGTCAATCA